TGTCGTGGAAACATGTACGATATTGGGCGTTTTAAAGGTGAGGGTAGAAAAATTATATATAAGTAAGATTTGAATATGAAAATATAAACAATATTTTTCGATAACTTGCTTAAAAAGTTACTTTGCTTACATGTCCGACCGTGTAGAATAATCGCTATTTAGCCGATTAAAATCCCGGTTAATAAATAATTGCTTTAACCTCAGATGAATCAAATGAAGTAGTGATTCGCCAATGAAACTCGAACTTGATGGGAAATAAAAGCAAATGAAACGGATGATCGACGAGCACGGCTCTGTTTCAGTCGCCGCCAGTCTTTTAAAATACTTATTTATAAGGGAACGGAACTTGTAGTAGTAGTAGTGCTTAAAAAAATAAAAGTGTGAAAGTATTAGAGGTATCATGAAGACATGGAATACTTGTAGATTTAAGGTAAGATAATTAATAATTTATTGTCTTTTAATTAAAAATTACTTGTTTACAATTATTTTAATATACAGGGTGTAGGTGCATCATGTACATACAGAAGGGGCTAATCCTTTAGCTTATTTTATCATTAAAAATTCATATAAACATATGTAGGTAAACAAAGCATCGTTAACGAAATTTCAAGATTTTTTGGTTTTTTATTTATAGCTCCTGCATTTTTTTTGATATTTAGCTCAAATTTGAAATATGGGTTTCAATGTAGGTCTTACATATCATAAGAATCTACAGGAAGATATTTTTTCAGGGATCATGCCCCCTTTTTTCTCCCTGATTTTTTTTGCGGTAAATCGCTGGTAGATTCTAAATTACAATTTTTCCCAATTTTTTTTTTTAAATTAATTTGAAATGAAAAGTTTTTATAAAATTAATTGTTTTATGCTTTTATAAACTTATATGTTCAATATATTTGTATACTTACATTTCCAAGATTTGCTAAATTTACAATAATTTCACTTAAATAGAAATATTTGAAAATTTTATATTATTCATAGAGATGTTAAAAAAACGGTTTTTTCAAATTGAAAAAAAAAACTGATTTCCTATGAATTAATGTTTTTGCCAACTATAGAGAAGAAAGTAAATACATTTTGGAAAAAAGTCTAAAATTGAAGTATTTGAAGTTTTTGGTATGTACATTACAAATAAAATGAAAAAACATTAATATAGATATTATTAAATTATAAAACCATTAATCTTGACATTTTGCTAACATTTTAAATTTCGATGACTTTAATTTTAAATGTTAATTTTATATATTCAACTTACATGACCTTTTTTCTCAATAACAAAATTTCCTACAAAAAATGTATTTCCATTTTTTTAAGTTACTAGTTTTTTTAGTTTACTAGTTTTTGTTAAAATTTTATATTTTACTGCTTAATTAAATACATTTTCTTTGCAAAAAGGGGATCCAAATGAAAAAACTAAAACTAACTGTTTTTTCTAATTCTTAATGTACATACATATAATCACAATCCACACATGTGTGTGGATTGTGCATATAATGTTTTATTTAATTTTTAAAGTAACCTCGAAAGTTACAAAATGAATTGTTTTATGCTTATATAAATTAATAAATATGGTCAATATTTTTTATAAATTTACAAAATTTTCAAATTTTTTGAATAATTTCACTTTTTCAAAATATTTGAAAATTTTAAATTATTTTATTTTATTATTATATTATTATTTATTATTTAATATAAAATAACCATCTTTTGTTTTTATAATGGGAACATAAGTTAAGTAGAAACTTTACATTACGTTACATTTTTGGATTTCTTTTTTTTTTCTCCATATATACCTACGTAACTATGTAAAAATCCAATTAGGAGGCCGTAGGACATGTGAAACTTGCTGTTTTTTTTAATTCCTAGGTTTTTTAGTTATTTGGGAATCACTGTTTTATTTTTTTTAATTTTTAATTGCTATTTTAATAAGCAACTTTTCTCAAATTCAACCGACCTCAAAACCTCTTCAAATACCAATATATAGATCTTGATGCACCCTTTATTATTATATATTTTATTTTATTATTAAACTTAAAAGTAAGCTATCGTTACCAAAAATCTTGACAAAATTCTTTTTTTTGTATTTCTTATAATTTCTTAATAATATAGGTTTTTTAGATATTTTTATAAATTAATTCTTAATTTCAAGTATTTATTTTATTTTATAGAATTTAAACTTTTTATTATCATTATTAACTAATTAGTTATCATCCGTCCCATATTTCAATAAGATGTATTTTAAAATATCAAATAAAATTGCCTTTAAATTTCTTGCGGAAGTTGAAAAAATATTGTGTGAGACAAAAGAGTAGATTTAACCAGTCAAACGATACTATTGTTTAATTTTTTTATTTAACAAAGTGCATTTTTTTAAATTTTCTGTAGTTATAAAACTTTTGTAGGTATTTTTTATGTTTATTTCCAAGAGTGAAATTTTCTAATAAATACATTTTTTAATATTAATTAATGTTGTTTTTATAAAAATAAGTAAAAATCCATTTTTTAATAAAAATTTCTAATGCATCAAATATTTAATGTAAGTACCTATTCTATTAAATTAAATTAAATCAAATATTTAATTAGATACATTTATATTCTAAAGTAAATTAAAATACTAGAAGTGCCCAGAAAAAGCGAATTAAAATTTTAATTTTAATTTTGAAGAAGAAAAAAAGTATTTTTCCTTTAAAATAATTTTTACGAATATAAATTTTGTATAACTATTATATATGAAGGAAATTTAATTTGATTTGTGTAGTGTTTCATTTAATTTAAATGTGATTTTTTTGACTAATTAACATTATGGTTCTTTAAATCTTGATAACATTTAATGTTACATGTAATGTTAAACATTACATGTACCTAACATTGTACATTGTAAAGAAAGAACAACTTAAACTGAACATAATACTATTTGTTGACAGTTTTATATACCTCAATTTTCATATTTTTTTTAGTTGAATTATAATATTTAATTGAAATTTATTATTATAAATATGTATGTATTTTAAAAAGATATTGTTTTATTATTACTAAATCACATTTAAGCTATTCTGTTGTAATGTTCTCTATTATTTTTAATACATTTCGCAATGTAAGTGTTTATAATATAAACTTTATATAACTTGCATTTTTTAACATTTCAACATGTTAAATGTCAAAACCTTGTACTACCTCTTTACGAACAGAACGAATCCCCTTTAAAAATGCCATTCAACTTCATAACGCAGAACCAAAGAGTTTCAAAGCGATTTTTCTTAAAAACGTTTGCTTTTAGACCTTTTAAACAGGAGGACTTTTTCTGTAAAGTTAATTAAATAGAAACTAAATACCCAACAACATAACTTAAAAAATAAAATGGTTTGCGCCCCCTGATAATATTTCAATATCGTGTCTGCAGCAGAAAAGTTGAATTTGTTATCTGTTTGCCAAAACTTATAATTCCACTAGTACTACCAAGATAAAAAATAAACCTGAAATTTTTGAATGGAATTCGGGGACACCCTGTATACGAATCATATCACACTAAAATATACAGTGCTTGCAATATCAACTCCGACCGCACTGGAAAGGACGGCTGTTCAATACCCGCGTGAAAAGAACAAGGATAGAACGCCAAATAGAATTTGATTGGCCAGAGCCGGCTGCCGGATGCGTGCGAATTGTAAGCGAGGTCAACTCTCAGTCTGGCTGCATTTAGACTAAATGATTTAGTGTCAAGCAAACTGCGTAAGAGTGTAGATGCACATTTTAATTTTCTTTTTAAATATTTTATAGGTACCCGAATCCTAAAAATAAAATTTTTTGATTTTTTCCTTGAGAACTAGGGCAACAACAAAAATAGTATTCTTAATAAAAAAGATTTCTCAAATAAAAAATAATTCTGAATAAAAATAACTAGGTATAAATAAAAATAAAACTCTAAATAAAAATAAAACTCTAAAAATAAATAATAAAAATAAATAAACTCAAAAATTAAATTAAATGTTCGAACAAGCCCCCATAGGCAGCCAAACAATAGCCTAACCTATTATAAAAATTCCCACGCACATTTGCTAGGACTTCTGGACTAATATCCCCCAACAAATTAGTTATGCGGATTCCTAAATCATTGAGGTTATTAGCATTACTATGGTAAATGTTCTCAGAAAATGCAAAAAATATTATAATGAATAACGAAAAAAACTCGAATTCGAAAATTTATTTTAATCATTATGTACAATTTCATCAAAAAAATGTGATTGTTGCAATTTTTTTTAGTTAAAAAGTTTATTTATTAAATTCTAATAACATTTATGTCAGAAAATCTCATAAAATATAAAAATACATGTAAATCATACTATTGAATTTAGATACTTCATTCTGATTACGATTGATTGAAAATTAGGGTGCTTTTTTGATATTAAGTCAAAATAAGGCGAAATAATAAATATTTCAAATCAAATAAATTACAGTGTATTTGGGACATATTTTTATTTTTAGTTATTTTTATTTGAGAAATCTTTTTTATTAAGAATACTATTTTTGTTGTTGCCCTAGTTCTCAAGGAAAAAATCAAAAAATTTTATTTTTAGGATTCGGGTACCTATAAAATATTTAAAAAGAAAATTAAAATGTGCATCTACACTCTTACGCAGTTTGCTTGACACTAAATCATTTAGTCTAAATGCAGCCAGACTGAGAGTTGACCTCGCTTACAATTCGCACGCATCCGGCAGCCGGCTCTGGCCAATCAAATTCTATTTGGCGTTCTATCCTTGTTCTTTTCACGCGGGTATTGAACAGCCGTCCTTTCCAGTGTGGTCGGACTTGGATTTGCAAGCACTGTATAGTATATTTATTATAAATCAAGATAATATAATAAAATAGATAATACTGTTTAGCTTGGATTAACTAAATACCTATATATAATAAAATATAAATGATAAGATATATTAACATTACTAAATAATAAAAATAAATTTACTTCAAACAAAGCGTGAGGTGCAGAAGAGTGTGCAACAATGATCTCATGGACAAGGGTACAGATTTTTTAAATAAGTATAATTAATGCCTAGAATTTTTAATGTATGCATCAAACATGTTTAAGACACAAAATTACATTAATTAAAACTATTAAAATATTTCCTTATTTTAGTCATCGATATTGCGTTTTAGTGGCTTTGCGATTATTTGCGGTGTAAGTATGTTTTTTATGTTATTATTAGCTTTATCTTCGGTTTATTTTGTAATTTTGGACCTTGTCTTACTTTACATACCTACTAAAAGAATAACTGCGTGACCCTGCATAAATAAATAATAAGTTTAATGCTTGAATGCAAATTTTAATTAGAGCGAACTGCCCATTTAATTTATTGAATTAAATAAAAAATAATTTTATTTATGGATTTATTTATACGTACTTTTTTAGTTATAATAATGTTTTTTATCAATTAAGCAATGTATAATTAATTTATATACAGAATGTAGAATAAATAATAATTATAATAAAGTTACTTTGTAAATATAACACTTAAAAGGTTCACGTGATTGATTTTAAATATTGATTATTGTTTCACTACACTGTAGCTTCTTCAAAAGCTTATCCAGAAGAAGTTACACTGTAGTGAAACAATAATCAATATTTAAAATAAATAACGTAAATCTTTCAAACATTGTTGTTTTTTTTGTATTTACATAGTAGTGATATGAAGTTTCATATCTTCTTAATCCATACGACCATGTTTTGTTTGGTCTCCCACGGTGGGTTAAGAATCTTAACCTGTCCCATTTATATTTCTAGTGCTGTTATTTTACTCGAACGTTTTAACTCCTTAAAACATTTTTAACTTATTTTTTTTAGTAGGCCAAGAATCATAAAAATAATAATTTCCTATTTTTCTCTCAATAATACACAGTCAAAAAATATTATCCAGATTTTATGTTAATCCAGGTCCACATAACTTTATGTTAAGTTTACAGTCAACTGTAAACGATATGCTGTTTGATTTGTTTTTGGGGATGCAGATTTCAATTTTAAAACTTATTTGAGAATTTAGTAAAAAATAATGTGTGAGGGTGAAAAGGGGAGGGACGAATAGATCATAAAATTGGAGTTATATGTCGTTTTATGGGTTTTAGCCAAGCAGATTACAATTTTAAAATAAAATTGACATTTTATTGGAAAGTAAGGGATGAGGTGTACAACGAGAATAAAAATTCCGAATTTCGTAAAAAATTTACTAATGTAACGTTTTATGGGTTTTTAAGTATACAGATTTTAATTTTTTTGTCAAATAACTTAATACTTGATTTTTTACAGAGTGCGTTTTGTTAAACATAACCGATTATAATATCATGATATCATGCATGATGTGAAAGTAGTGATTCTATTGGCAGTGCTTATTTCTAAATTTTAACTATGAAACAATATTTTTTCTTAAAAATTAAGTTAATTATAAACAAAAAAGGTACAAGCAAACCTATTATCAGAGATAATAACCATAATGTAATTATAACCTTTTTTCTAATTCCTGATGGATTGCAGCTAGGGGCGCCCAAGACCAAAATATAAAAAATCTTTTTTAGTTTTGACTGTTTAGGTTTTTTTTTCATAGCATGTTATTCTTTAGAAACTCGAAATCTCCGGGGTATTTTTTTTATCAGTTTATATTTTATGGTAAAGCTCCTGAAATATTTATATCTGTACATACATAAAATTTTAGATATTTTTTTATTGGACTGAGAAAGACTACTTAAGATTTGGGGGGGGGATTGATTGCCTCAAAATCACATGTACTTTTTCAACGAAATAATTTGTCAAACATTAACCTTTGAAATTAACAAAATGCTTACAAAATTGCATAATAACTTTACGAAACTTTCGGTAAAATATTTTCCTTTGTTAAATTTTTAAAAAATAAAATTAACACAAACTACAAACCACAAATCTGATTTTTATAACAGTGTACCTTTTAAATTTAAGAAAAGCAAAATACGCGCGCGAATTATACAAAAATGTATATACAAAAGTCTTATTTTACTAATTTTTATCGCGAAAAAGCATTCACTACTAAATAGTCAAATTAGTCAAATTCTACCAAATGAAATAGTCAAATTAGTAGAATTAAATGTAAAAAAAGTTCCGGCGGAGCTGGGGTTTGAAATTGGGTCTAGAAGTTCTCAAGCGGATCTCAAATCGTTGCGCTATTGCCAGTTTTATAAATGGCATTTATATAGGTCTATAAATATTTTTAATAATAGTTGAATATTTTTTTGTGTTGCTGTTTTGAGCTAAGCTTTTTGCTTTGTTTATGAGTCATTTAAACACGGAGCCTACATGCATTTAATGCTTGTTGTTAACGCAAGAAAAATACTAAAGAAATTTGTTCATTTTATCTCCCAGAAACAGTATAAGTTGGCAAGTAATCGTAAATTATTTAAACTATTTAAGTTGTAATAAGTAACTACTTAAAAGTGAAAATGACTATATATACAGGGTGAGTTTTAAGTTGACGCGTTCCTTTTAACAGTGTGTAGAAATCAGCTAGACAAATAAATATTTTAAGTAACTTTTTTATCAAAACTCAAAAATAAAAAAGTTATAGCCCATCAAAGTTTAATTAAATTTTAAGCCTGTCCTGGCAATTGTTAACGAAAACCATAAACATAAAAATATCAAAATAAACAATGCAAAATGTCATATTTGACAACAAACATAACCATTTAAATCAAATTGACATTTTGCAATAAAAAATGTCATTATTTACTTAAGTTGCAGCATTTGCATTTTGACGACACTCTCCATAACATTTCCACTAATTCATTATTGCTATAATTATGAACCATTTTTAACAATAATTGAGGCACAAAAAAACTTAGGTAAATAATGACATTTTTCATTGCTAAATGTCATTTTGATTTAAATGTTTGTTGTTTAAAGTTTAAATGTAAATGTTTGTTGTCATATATGACATTTTGCATTGTTTATTTTTTTTATTTTTATTTTTATGGTTATGTTTTTTGTTAACAATAGCCAGGACCGGCTCAAAATTTAATTAAATTTTGAAGGGCTATAACTATAACTTATTTTTGAGTTTTGATAAAAAAGTTACTTAAAATATTTATTTGTCTATCTAATTTCTACACGCTGTTAAAAGGAACGCGTCAACTTAAAACTCACCCTGTATATATAATTCAAATGGTGGAATTTTGACAATTTCGTCTAATTTCACTAAATTTATTAAGGAACAATTTTGATGATGGTAGTTTATATTATTTTTTGTATTTCTTATAGGTTGGCATAGGGTTGGCGGTTCTACTGGGTATAACAATTGCAGACACTTATTCAGTATCAAAAGAAATAGAAAGTAATTTAAAAACCCCTTTTGAATTAAATGACTTTTTATCGGGAGCGTATTCAGGGAAACTATTTAATGGTTTTTGGATAACAGGTGAGTAACAAAATTATAAAGATTATCAGATATTTCAAAAGTTCAAGAATCCTAAACCTTAAGTTTAAGTGTCAAGTTTGGTAAACCAAAAATTAATTTAATTTTAATTGTGTCTAATCTAATATATTATAAACAAATCTTTACCTTGAGAATCTTTAATCCTATAAAGGTAAACAACATATTTTCCTAATGGGGCAAGCACATATATTAAATAATAATTATTATTTAAATTTTAGATAATGACTTTTTATTCAAAAACAAAGAAGGAGATGTATTAAAATTTAATGCTGATACCCAAACAAAAAGTATATTTTTAGAAAAATCTGTTTTGGTAAGTGATACAGTGGCTATTTTACAATACAAATTAATTATAGTGTAGTTATTAATTTAATATTCATAAATAATAACAACGATTACAATAATTATTGTTATAATGTGGTTATTTCCAGTAATAATTTAATAATGTATTAATATTTATAAATTTAATTGTTTTTTTTTAACATTAATTTATGACATTATTTATAAATTAATATTTTGTTAATTATTCGTTACTTTTAAATAATAAGAAAATTTATTATTATTTAGGTTTATGTTATAGCTTTAATTAATTATTAACAAACACAAATCGTTAAAAATTTATTTTATTTATAACAGAAGGAACAAATATTTATAAAAATAAAAGAAAAGTCAAAAGGGCCTCATTATTCGCCGCGTCGGGAAATAAGGACCCCAAAGTCAACCTGCTCTCTATTTACAGAAATTGCATAGGTATATAGGTATGTCGATTTTTTTCTTGCACCTGAGCATTTGGCATACGTACCGTATAATAATAATAATAAGGCCCCTCTTGTACTTAAACTAAATAAAATAATAGTATATTACACTACAAGGGCAGAAAGTGTGAGATTCCTGCACTGCGCGCCATGATGCCCGAGGCGAAGCCGAGGGCATCATGGCGCGCAGTTCAGGGCTCTCACACTTTCTGCCCGTGTAGTGTATACTATTTTTCTTGCTACCCCGCAGAAAATACGGGAAAAAATTAAATGTATATAAAAAAACTAATAAAAATCTGACGTTTAATTTAATTATGACGTTTACATGCAAAATCAATCAAACTGTAGCGTTGTCATGGTAATTCAGCGGTGCCAATACAGTAAAAATAAAAGGTTGTATTTTAATTAACAAATTACTACTTTATAACAAATAAAAGTACCATTAAACACTTAAAACAACATAAAAAGTAAAAAAGTAAAAACATAAATTGTTTATTTGTTGTTATAATTGCAAAATTATGGTTTAAAACTGTCATATTTTTGTGTTTCTCATGTTGGCAGTACAAAATTTGAATGTTAAGCACACGACTAATAGCTATTTACATACCATGAGAGGAAAATATTGCATTTCCTCCCGCGAATAGTTTGATGCCCGACGCGAAGCGAAGGGCATTAAATATTCAAGGGAGGAAATGCATTTTCCTCCTGAGGTATGTATATAGTTTTTTCTATTACCTTTTAACGGTTTTAAGACATTTTAAGCGTTCCGGTTCCTTACTTACCCGGTATGGGGCTATAAAATTATGACAAAATATTAAGTAGGTTTTGCGTCGCCGACGTTATGTTGACAACGCTTTGTTGCTATGGTATTTTTGGTAATACCAACATAACAGTTTTTATAAGCTGTCATAATGTTTATCATAAATTTAATAGTTGTAATTAATTTCCTTCCTTAAAAATCTAAAATAATGAATATGAATATATTTTGTTAAAAGAATGTTAAAAGAATGGTTGGACAAGCGCGGAGTAAATCTTTTTCCTACAAAATCAAATAAAGCTAGACAAGGTACAAAAACTCTTGCCAATATAAATTTAAAAAAAAAAAGAGGGAGGAAATTTTTTTTCCTCCCGGGGAGGAAAAGAGGCATTTTCCTCCCTCGCTCAGGTAGTAGAAAAAAAATTTTTACTCCCGCTATTAGAGTGTGCGCGTATAGCTTGACCAATGCAAGAAACGTAAACTTTCTGCCGTGAAATCGGGGACGAAACAACGTATTTTGAGTCGAGGTAGTAAGAAAAATATTTTTTATGAAGAAGACTTTACTCCAGCAATAGCTTTAAATCATTTTCCTATTGAAACATTACAAAAGACTAAAGAAGCTGTAGCAGATGCAGCGTCAAATGTGAACGAGGATGCTCCTGCATCTAGCAGGGCCAACGTTATGAAACAGATGTGTAATGTGACTTGACTCAATACTCTTGAGTGGACGTATGCCGCATCCAAACGCCATAAATAATAAAATAAGACGTACAACTTTAACTCTCGATAGAAAAAGACTAAATAAGTTACAGAGACTAAAGACATTAGTTAAAAATGACTAATTACTACAGTTATTAGTAGCTGCTTTTTCACTTATACCCTGGTATACCATGGCATAGCATGGTTATCCCGATATAATAGCCAATTCTTATGTAAAATTGTCCGCATAATCCGAAAATGTCGTCAAAAGTAATAAAAGTAAAACAGTTTTTGAGATATAGTCAATTTTTCATATATTATGGAATTGACTATATCTCAAAAACTGCTCTACTTTTATAATTTTTGAGAGTATTTACGGGTTCAGGGAACAACTTTACATAAGAATTATGTCAGGGATACCACGCTATCCATGCTATCCCATAGTATACCATGGTTTAAGTGAAAAAGCAGCCACTAATAACTGTAGTAATTAGTCATTTTTGACTAATTCATTTTAGAGAGTTCACTGTTATCTAAAACAAATCTCTAACAACAGCCATAATAATACGGTGGGCCTGATTATCCAGTGGGCCCGATTACCTAACTCTCCCCTACTCATAAAATACTCCTATAGGCATAATATTGAGTTTCTTCGTATATAATGATAAACATTATATAAATTCCCTGCCTAACAACGGAAAATTAACTCATTCACGTTCTTAGGCATCAGTGATTGGCCGAATTTAATATTCACTGTGATTTGAACCAATCGGTTGTTCATTGGGAATATTTAAAATTGATAAAAAGTGAGGTTAACCATTTGACAGATGTCAGATTTTATTTATTTATTTTTAAAAATCATTTAATTATCTGCCTATTGGAGTAGAAAAAGTATACATTATTATTTTTTAACATAATATATTATCAATATTATTAGATTAGCCTTTTAAAATGTCAAAAATGGCAAAATTTATTCAGTTTGTAATATTTTTTGTTTTGTGTAGAGTATTTAAATTGTTTTTTTTTAGGATAATTATAAGGGCGCTGTTATAAAAGTATCTGAAGATCAAAAATTTGTTCTTATTGAATACAACGCTAGCTCGGTAATACAATTAAATTTTATTTTAAATATATTTTTTCAATTTAAACCTTTCTTTTAGGTTTTTAGACATTCCAAAAAATCTCAATTTGCAGTTTACGATTTAACAACAAAGTATATAATGCGTTTTATATCGGGTGGGCCATAATGATGAACCTGTTTCTATTCAAAACTCGACCTTAAATTTGTTAAAACTCGTAGTCGAATTTCGCGTAAAATAGCAGCCATTTTTTTCTGATATTTTTTTAACTGGGCTATCATGGCTGGTTTGTCATTGTAAACCTCAGAGAAAAAATGCAAAAGTCGAGTCAGGAAACCTGGGAAATCCCTTCTATGCAAAAAGATTTTTCTTCAAACATTCATTTACGAACTGCAGTTTTAGTGATTTTTTACACTTTTCAAAGCTTTCAAACATACGAATTTTTGAATTAAAAAAAATAATCCTGGTATAGACTCTTTGGGAAATTTTATGCTCTACAAGAATCCGCGACGTAAAGTTATAGTCTTTTTAATGAAAAAAGATTTTTTTACGTGTTATTTCAATGGAAAACTTAGAATGCTCACCGACACCTTTTAAAATTGAGCAAAAAATTTTGCCTTGCAGGGAAATTTTTTGCTCGATATGTAGGTTCATTTTAACCCATAAATCCGATAGGTTAGTTTTTTTGGCTCACCCTAGTAGTCGGGTAAAGAAAAAAGCATGGAACATTGTTGTGTACTAGTCTGACCTAACTTTCGCCCAAAAGTCAACAACCTTAACCAGTTCATTGGTTATAATTGATCTTGGACATCAACTAGACTAAGGTTGTAACCTGTAGCCGCAAATTTTCTGATATATACCTAAAGGAACTTTTTTGTAAAAATAAAACTGCTCGTCTTATGGTTCACCCTATATAAAGTACAACAAACATTTATAGTTCTTTATTTTTAGTAACTCGCATGATTTACATGACAAAAAATTTATTCAATATGCTTCATTCGATAAAATGGGCCACTCAATCGCATACGTTTATGAAAATAATATTTATTACTTAAAGGACCCTGAAAATGCTGATAATCCTAAACAAATTACTAAGGAAGGAGTACCTTCAGTATTTTATTGTGGTGTACCGGATTGGGTATACGAAGGTAAACATATTTTTTTTGTTATTCTGTGTTAAATCATAATTTTTATTTCAGAGGAAGTTTTGGGAACTGGATCAGCCATGTGGTTTTCTCCAGACGGGCAAAAGTTGGCTTTTGCTACTTTTGATGATACCAATGTCGATAATTTTACTTATATTATTTATGGAGAACCTGGATCTTTAAAAGATCAGTATACCACACCAGTAACCATTAAATACCCCAAGGTATGTTTAATTATATAAACAAAAACCAGACTTTGTATTTCTAAAGGTTTTGCTGAATTCAAATTCGACCTTAAAATTAATCTATCATATAGGTTTTCGAGGCTAACAAGTTATTTTTCCTCCTCAAAACACGTTACGACATCTTCAATAAATTTGGTTTCTGTAAAAATTTGATTCGACGCGTCGTTGAGATCATAAATTTCAACTGACGATTTCTCGAAGAGAAGTGGAAATTTAAAAAGGATTTTAAAGAGAACGCGTTTTTTCTTCTTTTAAGCTAGAATTTCTTAAAAACCTGATGTGATTAAGCAATTCTAAAGTCAAATTCGAACTTAGAGCTAACATTTCTGTTTTTAAATAAAATCTTGTAGGTAGGAACCCCAAACCCAATAGTAAAATTGTACATCTACAACTTAGAAACCGACGCACTCATAAAACCAATTATAGAAGAAGAAAATAACGAGAAAGACTTTATTCTATACGATGTAACATGGGTAAATAATGACCAAGTATCCCTAATTTCATCCAACAGAGTACAAAATAAAGCCACCATAACTAAATGCTCTCTAAACGGAAAATGCGAAGAAGTATGTTATTTAACCTGTTATATTATTACATGTTAATTGATTGACGATTTTAGGAACAAAAATTTAGTGAAGAAACGGGTTGGTTGGATCCTAAAATTCCTCTATATGATAAAAAAGGTACCTGGAAATTGGAAATATTGCCGAAGGAAGAGGGCAATGATCGTTTTGATCACCTGGTTATAACAGATTTAGTAAATCAATCCTCACTTCAGTTGACCTTTGGCAAAAAAATTGTCACTAATATTTATGGGTGGGATGAGGATCACGACATAATGTATGTACAGTTTATTTTAATGTTCAGAATAACTATCACACTTTTTTTTAGATATTATGCAGGAACTGCTGAAGATACCCCATCTCAAATGCATATTTACTCTGTTAACTCAAAAGGTTATGGAAACGATAAATGTTTGACATGCGAAATGAAAGTACAAGGTGTTAATTGCACCTATGCTGTAGGACTTTTCAGCAAGGATAATTCTTACTACACTAAAGTTTGTAAAGGACCCAAAGCACCATTTGTGACTATTGAAGGATTAAAACATGTACGTATTACATACCCATTATGTCAATATATTGTTATTTGATTTTAGGATTTATCGATTGTATGGGAAAATAACTCGGCTTTGAATGAAAAATTAGAAAATAAACAACAACTAACTAGTAAGGATCTTAAAGTAAATGTCAGCAACGGTTTTCAAGCTAGAGTACGAATTTTGGTACCTGAAGATTTTGATGAAAATAAAGTTTATCCCACGATAGTTTATGTGTAAGTTTTATAATTAGTCATTTTCTGAGATTTTATTATCTTTGTCGACATTTGCAAAAACTAGATGATTTTATAGGTATAAAAAGAGTAGGTACTTTAATATTTTGCATTTGGCAACAACGGTTTTGGTACCTGAACTATGTACATTGTTGCCTAAGAGTTACTTGTAACAAAATTTAATGTTTACGAGTTCAACAATATGTGTTGTTATTCGCCTTTATTTTATTTTATTAAAAGAATTATTTATTTTTGATATGGGTATATTTATTTCCATTTTAGATATGCAGGTCCAAATTCAAACCTTATATCTGATGCATATGCAGTGGGTTTCGAAAACTACTTGGTATCAAATAAAAAGTATCTATATGTTTTAATAGATGCAAGAGGATCTGGCAAAGACGGCAAAAATAAATTATTTGAACTTTATAGGAAATTGGGCACCATTGAAATTGAGGACCAAATAGCGGTCACTAAGTAAAATAAATTAAATTATATTATGTTTTGGGTATTGTTCACATTTTTTAGGTACTTACAAGATAATTACAAATTTATTGATAAGGAGAATACAGGCATTTGGGGTTGGAGTTATGGCGGGTTTACTACAGGTTGGGCTTTGGTAAAAGATAAAGAAAATATTTTTAAATGTGGAATATCAGTGGCACCCGTCACAGACTGGATTTACTATGGTACATTCCACCAAAAACATAAACTATGTAATCTAAAAAATATATTTTAGATTCTATTTACACTGAAAGATACATGGGTTTACCTAAATCAGATGACAATCTTGAAGGTTATAATAATTCAGACATAACCAGAAATGTGGATGGTTTTAAAAATAAAACATATTACCTAATCCATGGTAATGCAGACGATAATGTTCATTACCAACAATCCATGGTTCTTTCTAAAGCTCTGGAAGCAGCGGACATTTTATTTGAACAACAGGTACTAGATGGCGCTTACACCTTGTCGCTTGTGTTTATGTTTCTAAACCAAACAATTTTTTTAGAGTTATCCAGATGAAAATCATTCTTTGGGTCACGTGAGTGCCCATTTGTACCACAGTATGGAACGATTTTGGGATCGTTGTTTTGAGAGTAGACATGAAAATGACCAAAAAGAAAGTTCAAATGCCATATAATATGTAAATAATAAATTACTATCTATTTTAAATTAAAATTTTTAAATTAATATTTTAAATAAATTTAGTTTAAGGTTACCTTGTTTTTACCTTGATGACTGCTTTCAGCACTTTATTTTATTCAAATTTTCTTGCTCTGCTTAATTATTTAGCTCATACGATAAATAAGCATCGATAGTGGCGCCACCACGTAGCTGTCATCATCGTAACAAAACTACATATTTTATTAAGCAGCTGTAACTGCGTATGTAATAAACAAGTGTTTTTGAGAATAAGGTCGGGAAATGTTAAAAATATCGAGAAAAAAAAACGTGAAACAATTTGTTGTGTTAAGTGTTTATTGAGAGGAAATCCGGGGTTAAACTTTTACCGGTTTCCCAATAAACAGTGGGAATCCGAAGGAAGAAATAAATTGCATACAGTCCCTGTATATATCAATTGTACCTGTTAGATACAATAAATACACATTTTGTTAATAATTTACGTGAAATTTACGTGAAAATTAGTGAAAATCCTAAAACAAATAAGTCTAAACCGCATTATAAATTATTAAAAGCGTTGATTAAGAAAGTCTTCACTCAACGGTAAAAGACCAAAAACGGGTATTATATTTTGTATTATATATAATATTATGTTGCCGTGAATTCGTAGATATATTTTGTCTTTTACTATTTCAAAATGCAGCTGTCTGCGTGTTTTAGAGGACTCAAATATAAAAATTGTTACGATTCAAAAATTCTGTTGGATTGGTTAATTATAATTGATAATACTAAATCATTAATTTCGTTAAGATAGTAAAAATGAAACGATAATTTGTATTTACAAGTGTTTATTGTTTTTGTTGTTTCTTGTTTTCTTTTACTTGATGACGTTGTATCGTCCTTGAATTATTCCGATCGCGATATTTTGATGGCCTGAAAAAGAAAACTGTATTTGGTAAATAATATGCAACATTATTAAAAATAATTGATATATAATAAATAAAATAAATATTATATTTATTTATTCTCACTTATCTGGTTATGGGTTTAATTTCTTGTTTTCTTTGTAATGACATCTGTTAACACTTGTCTAACAAGCGAAATAGCGGGGTTGCCACTATTTTATTCGACGAAGCGGAACTATTAATTTTTAGCCTTTAGATATACCTAATTTGAGTTATTTGGTTTCTGTTGCGCATGTGCGTCTTCTAAATTGTCGAAGCTGAAGGAAGTGAGTTTTTTTTGGGGTTTATTAAAAACCGTAATGGTGGAAAAGTCTGTCAGTCTGAACGATACGAGTTGAGAAATTTTCTTTAACCTTTACTAAGGGATTTAACTATCGTCAGTACTATTTTTGGATAAGGTCAAGTTCCTGTGTTGGAGTTACATTTGTGTAAAGTGCCTAAATCCACAGCGTTAGCTGGATGTCTACGGATTTCTAACCACCTTCAATACTGAAGCCATCTACCATCTTCGGCTCTATTAGCTGTTTAGCTTGAAAACCCTTTCTTTTAAGGTAATCTATAGTTTGTTTTCCATAAAGAAAAGTAACAATCCTTTCTTTTAGGGTTTTTAGTTTTGGTCATAGATAAACCATTTTGTGACAATTTACCCGGAAGACCAGTGCCGTCTTCTAGTTTTCCTCAATACCTAGGCAAACCTACTTTCATCGTATGCCGATTATATAGTGCCGAGATCGTCCTTCAGAAGCCTGTATATTATATTTTAAAGGTTAACTATTGTTGCTACGAGCCAATTAGTTGGTGACAGAATTAATATTTGCGCATAAATAAATAAAGTCTTCGTCTTTATTATCTTTGGGTGGGGTGAGTATTCACATTTTGTTTTCTTTAAACTCAAAAATTTTTATTATCTATTTCTTCAATCTAAAGTGTTGTTTTTATTTCATTTTTTTATTATTGTTTTTGTTGTTGTTTACTATTAAAGAAATTAAAACCATAAACAATACTCATTCAAATATTGAATTTCACCAAATAATATAGTTTTCTTTTGGCCTACGTATTATGTTTTTTTTTTGTATTGTTTCGACTACTATTTTAACGTCGCGACGCCTAACGTCGAAATCTTGTTTGATAGTTAAACGTCGTTGCATTAATTGAATACTACTGTTGGTAATATTTTTAAACATATTTGGACGTCGTGACGCTACCGACGCCTGACGTCGAAATCCTAAATTTCATTTTAATCATTTTCTTTTGCGAATAATAATTTATTTAAGCGTGGAAAATAAGTTTAAAATATTTAAAATATATACTTGTTCTACTTTTAACATTAAAACATGGATATTAATAGATTATTAAGTGACGAACTGACTTATGAATTACTTATAAGAAATCAAAGCTTAGGTAATACTGTGGTAGAAAAACGCTCTTTACTAAGGGATGCATTAAGGTTGGAAAAGTCAGGCCAACTTGAATGTTCTGTAGATAATTTGGATGCGTCCAAGGAAATTTGTATTTGTACTTCAAAGTTAGATGAAATTAATGGATACATTCAAGAGTTTGACATTTCTAACCAGCACAATGAATTTAAACGAATAAATTCGAGGTTATTGCACTTACAAAATCGCATAACTAGAATACGCTCTTCAGATACTGAAATCATTTCGTGTAAAGAAAAATTAATGGTATTCTGTTCTACATTATTTTCGGCCCTTTCTCAAGTATACTCAATAGAGTAATTGCATCAAAAATGAAAATCCCTAAAAACCTTTTTAATGTAATCTAGAGGTAAAAACACATTGCAAAAATATTTTTTTATATTCCAAAAGTTCAACCCGGCCCCAAAATATCAAATTGAAAAAAAGGTACTTTTCAAACGTTCCGAACTCCCGCCATATTGCATGACGTCATAAGCTTCACCAGCTGTCAGAAATCAAGATGTCAACAAATAATAAACACCGATAAAGTTTATGTTTAACATGGAAAACGCGAAACCAAAAATGGGTTGTAAATATTGTTTTGTGCCTTGTTGTACAAATACAACCTGGAAAACTCCTAGGAAAGTTGTCCCTTCAATTATCAAAAGCAAAGTTTATGACCCTACACTGAGAGTAGTTACGGCTCAGCCGTATTTTCTTGAATTTATTAATATTTACCATATATCCATACCATATACCTAGTAAACGACATTTTATTTTACTTACATTAAAATGATCCTTAAAATGAGCAATAAAATGGTGACGATGTTTTGATATCGCGCCGAGCTATTTTAATCCACTTTATCCTTATTTTCCCTTTTGGCATGGTGATAAACTTTTTCCCAGGAGTTTTCCAGGTTGTATTTGTAGAAGGCACAAAACAATATTTACAACCAATTTTTGGTTTCGCGTTTTCCATGTTAAACATAAACTTTATCGGTGTTTATTATTTGTTGACATCTTGATTTCTGACAGCTGGTGAAGCTTATGACGTCATGCAATATGGCGGGAGTTCGGAACGTTTGAAAATTACCTTTTTTTCAATTTGATATTTTGGGGCCGGGTTGAACTTTTGGAATATAAAAAAATATTTTCGCAATGTGTTTTTACCTCTAGATTACAATAAAAAGGTTTTTAGGGATTTTCATTTTTGATGCAATTACTCTATTTCTAATGAAACTCCTGTAGTCAATCTTCTTGATGATCCAATTGATTCTGTACCTATTAATGAACCATCTACTTCTGTTTCCACCCCTGCGCATGTTAGTTTTGTTAATCCTGCTCTAGGTGAAGGTAATCCTGTAGAGGGATTACTTAATTCAACTATCCTTTTATTGAAACAACTGAACAGTGTTAGTATCCATAAAGAACCTAAGGAATCGGCGAATTTTAATTATTTTCCTAGAAATGCTGACCATTTGTCAATTATACCTGTAGCAAAATGGGGTATTAAATTTCTTGGAGAACGGGACGAAAGTTTAAATGACTTTCTTGAGCGTGTGATTGAGTTAAAGGTGGCGAGAAACATTTCTAGTTCTCGATTGTTTACATCCGCATTAGACCTATTTGGAGGAAAAGCTCTAATTTGGTACCGTGATGTGCGTCAGATGGTAAATTCTTGGGATGAATTGGTCGTCAAATTACGGGAAGAATTTTTGCCGTTTGATTATGATTTCCGTCTGATGGATCAAATTAGAAATCGCACCCAAGGTTTTGATGAGTCCATCGGATTGTACTTAGCCATAATTCGTCAAATGTTTGCCAGACTGAGTGGGTCAGTCTCTGAGTCTGAACGTCTAAGCCTCATTCTTAGAAATCTTCATCCATTTTATCAGGAGCGATTATCCCTCATTAAAGTTGAATCTGAGGAACAATTGCTACAATTATGTAAACAAATAGAAAAACACAAATCCTTAATTGACTCCTACCAAGCACCTTGCCGAAGAAAAGACGATGTCGAGCCTAACCTGTCTAATATTGCAAAACCGAAGAGTTCTTTCAAACCGAAGGTTGATGTAGTTAACACTTATTTGACCTGTTGGAACTGTCATAAAAAAGGACATATATCCAAAGAGTGTTCAGAGAAGAGAAAATCAAATAAGCATTGCTTTTCTTGTGGGAATCCTGGATTTGTAAAGTCAACCTGCCCTAAATGTAATAATTCGGAAAACTTCCGACAGGGGGTCTAAAAGGTCGTAAAGATGCCTCTGTCAGGATTATGTCGACCAGGAATTCTTATCGTAATCAAGTCATTTTAGATTATATCCTTTCTCAAGTTCGAGATGATGAGCGGCCGTATTTAGAAATAAGCGTTTTAGGTAAACGTTTGGTTGGGTTGCTAGACTCAGGTGCATCTAGGACTATAGTTGGTTCTGGTGGATGGGATATTTTGCGATGCCTTAATTTGCCCTTACGTAGTTGTAGTGTGGCATGTACGGTTGCTAATGGTGAGCAATGTCGTGGTGTAGGTGTCGTTTCAGTCCCTATGACGCTGGAAAAGGAAACGCGTATTATAGATGTGCTTGTAATACCAGAACTGGAACATAAATTAATCCTAGGTGTAGACTTTTGGACTCAAATGAACATCGTCCCGGATCTCAAAAATAATCGTTGGCATTTTGCTAAGGAACCACCCTCCATTGTTATTGACTCCATTCAGGACCAATCAACTTTATCGCCTGAGCAAAAATTAACTTTAGATGAGTTGGTGGCGAACAAACTTGAAGCCATGGGGTCTAATATAGGTGTAACACATTTGGTTCAACATGAAATAGAACTTTTGTCAGGTTCCAAGCCCATTAAGCAAAGATACTATCAAGTATCGCCTCCTAAGCAGCAAATTATTGATGAGGAAATAGACAAAATGTTAAAGGCTGGTATTATTGAACCCTGTAAAAGTCCTTGGTCATCTCCAGTATGTTTAGTTAGGAAAAAGGATAATTCTTACCGTTTTTGTATTGATTATAGACAGCTGAATGCTGTGACTAAAAAGGATAGCTATCCCATTCCATATGTAGCCTCCATCTTAGACCGGCTTAGGGATGCTCGCTATCTTAGTTCCCTAGATATCAAAAGTGCATATTGGCAGGTTGGATTAGCTGAATCATCCAGAGACTTTACAGCGTTTACCGTACCTAATGGACTGTATCGATTTAAAGTTATGCCTTTTGGGCTTACTAATGCCCCAGCTACTTGGCAAAGGCTTATAGACACCGTTTTGGGCCCAGATCTTCAACCTTTTGTAATGGTGTACTTAGATGATGTCATCATTGTTACAAAGGATTTTGAAACCCACCTTAACATTCTCACGAAAGTCTTCGATAGGTTATTAGAAGCTGGGCTAGTGGTTAGTCACGAGAAATGCAATTTTTGCAGACCTCAACTCAAATATCTAGGGTATATAGTTGACCAATCTGGATTACATCCAGACCCAGAAAAAGTTGAGGCAATTTTCAGAATACCGTCCCCAAGGAATATACAGGAAATACGTCGGTTTATAGGAACTGCTTCTTGGTATCGTCGATTCGTTCCAAATTTTTCCACTATAATTGCCCCTCTATCAGGGCTTACGAAGAAAAATAAAAAATGGGTTTGGTCTGAACGTTGTGAGTTGTCGGTAAAGAGAATAAAAGAATGCTTGATATCTGCTCCGATCCTAACTTGTCCTGATTTCGAACGCCCTTTCATCTTGCAAACTGATGCCTCAGGTTATGGAATAGGGGCGGTATTGTCGCAGGAATTTCCTGAAGGTGAAAGGGTCATTTGCTTTCTGTCTCGATCCTTGACTTCTCAAGAGCGAAAGTATAGCACAACCGAACGGGAGTGCTTGGCTGTTATTTGGGCTATCGAAAGCCTGCGTCATTATTTGGAGGGTTTCCATTTTAAGGTAATTACTGACCATTACTCTCTTCTATGGCTACAACATATGAAGGATCCTCAAGGGCGACTAGCTAGGTGGATTTTGCGTTTGCAGCCCTATGACTTTGAAATGATTCATCGAAAGGGTAAGGATAATGTGGTGCCCGATATGCTCAGTCGTTCGGTGGATGCGTTAGTCGATGTGGTCGACGTGGATACTTCCTCTTTTGGAAATACCTCCGATAAATGGTATCATGGGATGATCTCTCGAATCGAAAATAATCCAGTTAAATATCCTGGTTGGTCTATCCAAAATAGCATGTTATATAAATTTTGTAAACCCTCGATATCTGAGTTTTCCGATGGTGTAGATTCCTGGAAACTTGTCGTTCCTAAGGATAGGAGAAAGGAAATTTTAGTGAAGTATCACGATGATGTTACCTCGGGACATGTAGGTGTGTTTAAAACGTTTTGGAGGGTACGAAATAAATATATTTGGCCAAAAATGAAGGCGGACATCTCCAGGTACATAAAAAATTGTAGGGTGTGTTCGGAACAGAAGGTGGAACAAAAAGCCCCCGCGGGATTATTAGGTTCTCGGCCTGAAATCAAACAACCGTGGCAAGTTATCAGCCTTGACTATATCGGTCCCTTTCCTAGGTCAACGCAAGGTTACACTTATGTTTTAGTGGTGTCGGATTATTTTAGCAAGTATGTTTCCTTGTTCCCACATCGCGCTGCTACCGCCAAATTGTTGGCTAAAGATATAGAGGAAGGCATATTCTTGACATATGGTGTACCTCAGTATGTTATTTGCGATAATGGTGTGCAAATGAAGTCTAAAGAGTTTCAAACTTTATGTCAGAGATATAATTCTAAAATATGCTATACGCCGTTATACTGGCCTCGAGCTGATCCGTGCGAAAGGGTTAATCGTGTGGTGAAGACTATGATTTCCTCTTATATACGTGGTAGTCAGAAAACTTGGGCTGACAATCTTTCTTCTATTAGTTTAGCTATCAAAACTGCCAGACATGAGACTACTGGTTTTAGTCCATTTTTCATAAATTTTGGAAGAGAACATATACATTCTGGTTCTGATTTTGATTCTTCGGTTAACAATTCTCGAAAGGATTGTTCAATCACGGACAAAATAAAAGGTTTTCAAAAACTTTTTGATACGGTTGCTACCAGGATTAAACTCGCGGCGGATAGAAGTAAAAACATTTATAATCTTAGACGTACACTGTTCAAAATTTTAGCTAATTTTTACCTAAAATATTAGATTATATAGGACCATTGATTTTTTAAGGCAAACTGCCTGAAATGAATTCAGAGGAATATTCCCCTTTTAAATTAGTGAATTCTTTAACTGATATTTTTAAAGAAAATGATACAATTAATTAAGCAAAATTACTTAGGTTACAAAGATGATACACCTTAGATCGTAAGGGATATTACCTGAGAATAAAAGAATAAATTTCCTGTTTCTAAGGCAATTTGCTTAAATTTTTAGGTAGATTATATATATTTTTAGTAAAAATCCTCTTATTTTTCACGGTAAATTTATCTATTTTTTTTAGATATATCCTTTTTTCGGGTAATTTTCTACCAATTTTTTAGTGAAATTCTACCAACTTTCTAGTAAAATTTTACTTATTTTCTAGTGAAATTCTACTATTTCATTAAATAAAAATATAAGGGGAACAAGAATTAGCGGTGGGGGCATTTAGGAGAGAAGATATTTATAATGTCATTTTTATTCTCACGCATTGCTTTGGTAATATACTATTTTGGAAATATACTATTGTAAATGTTAAATATTATTGTAAAAAGTTACCGATAACCTAGTAGTGTTTATCCCTATATCGAGCAATGTAAATGAGAAAATAATGACATTATAAATCCCCCTTTTAAGTGCTGTTGGGTAAAATAAAAAATTCATTTATTTTAGTTAAATTGAAAATATATATTAATAAAATATGTATAAATAAAAAAATAAAAGTAACAAAAACGACAATAAAACTTATAGGTATACCTACTTTATAAGTTTAATAAAGTTTCTTTTGGCATAGGAATTTTCTTCCAAGTTAGGACTCCTTTATCTTTATGTCCTAGGCGAATTAACAACGGCGGTTCCGGTACTACAGCCTGTAGTCTACAGGGTTGGGATTATTTAAAAATAAATTGGGGTCAATGAAAAATTCCATTTAGTTTGGATTACTTAACTATAGCACTTCAAAATGTTCACTTATAGCACAATATTTGTTAACTGTTGTTATATCAATAGCACACAACGCGGTCTTTACGTTTTCGTTGATTTTGGCATTCTGGTGGACAATATAGGCGCGAATATTTATCGTAAAACGTCGGTATTAGCGATCGTAGCCGATTGCAAGTAAGTCACTAATATTTAAAGGAATTTACCTAAATTGGTTCAATAATTTAACATAATAATTTAGAAGAACTACCTAAATTAAAAGCAAAATTGTCGTACCTAAAAGTCATTGAGATTTTGACTAAATATTTAGGTAATCTGCCTATCTTTTTAAATTTGAGAAGTTTATTAAGTAAAGTATGAATATTTATCTAGAAGTTAGTGAATACACCATAGAACAAAGGCATTAGTTTCTGCCTAATAAACGAGAAGGTAAATTGCTTTACTCGTTTAAGCATATTACCTTATTTTTTCTTAACTAATTCTGATTAGGTATTTCAAAAGGCTTGATTTTGAACAGTGTAGAGCAGTTCATTATGCGGTCGGCGAAATGGTATGGCGTCGTAATAAAACTATTTCCAATGCGGCAGATAATTTTAATTATAAATTAGCTCCAAAATTTGTCGGTCCCTTTAAAATAAGTCGTAAGGTAGGTCGGTGGGCATACGAGTTATCGGATGACTCCGGGAAGAATTGCGGCATGTGGCATGTCCAGGATCTAAAGCCTTATGCCTTTCTGGCGAACGATGAGTAATTTTGTTTGAATTTTTTAAAATAAGCAAGTAAATTTCCATGAAATTTACTTGTTTGGAAGGAAAGGGGGAGTTGTTACGATTCAAAAATTCTGTTGGATTGGTTAATTATAATTGATAATACTAAATCATTAATTTCGTTAAGATAGTAAAAATGAAACGATAATTTGTATTTACAAGTGTTTATTGTTTTTGTTGTTTCTTGTTTTCTTTTACTTGATGACGTTGTATCGTCCTTGAATTATTCCGATCGCGATATTTTGATGGCCTGAAAAAGAAAACTGTATTTGGTAAATAATATGCAACATTATTAAAAATAATTGATATATAATAAATAAAATAAATATTATATTTATTTATTCTCACTTATCTGGTTATGGGTTTAATTTCTTGTTTTCTTTGTAATGACATCTGTTAACACTTGTCTAACAAGCGAAATAGCGGGGTTGCCACTATTTTATTCGACGAAGCGGAACTATTAATTTTTAGCCTTTAGATATACCTAATTTGAGTTATTTGGTTTCTGTTGCGCATGTGCGTCTTCTAAATTGTCGATGCTGAAGGAAGTGAGTTTTTTTTGGGGTTTATTAAAAACCGTAATGGTGGAAAAGTCTGTCAGTCTGAACGATACGAGTTGAGAAATTTTCTTTAACCTTTACTAAGGGATTTAACTATCGTCAGTACTATTTTTGGATAAGGTCAAGTTCCTGTGTTGGAGTTACATTTGTGTAAAGTGCCTAAATCCACAGCGTTAGCTGGATGTCTACGGATTTCTAACCACCTTCAATACTGAAGCCATCTACCATCTTCGGCTCTATTAGCTGTTTAGCTTGAAAACCCTTTCTTTTAAGGTAATCTATAGTTTGTTTTCCATAAAGAAAAGTAACAATCCTTTCTTTTAGGGTTTTTAGTTTTGGTCATAGATAAACCATTTTGTGACAATTTACCCGGAAGACCAGTGCCGTCTTCTAGTTTTCCTCAATACCTAGGCAAACCTACTTTCATCGTATGCCGATTATATAGTGCCGAGATCGTCCTTCAGAAGCCTGTATCCCTCAAACTCAAAGGTCAGATTCACCCAAATATTAGATTACTTTGAAAGCGCTGCTTCACGACCGGCTGTGTGCAAATATTGATTATAATTCTCGATTTTACTGTACGGTATTTTGGTTACTGTAAACTGATTATTAATATTATAAATAGAGGTTGTAAACCTATTATAATTGGCCAGTTATAACAGGGGGGGTTAAATAGTGTTTTATTTAAAGTTTCAATAGATTCATTAACCATTAGCTGTCTAGTTTAATTTGATTTTGCAAAAATTTATTTCTAAGGTAAGTAGTTTGCAATAGTTAACCTAAATCTTCGAACCCGGAGCGGTTTTCATTTTAAGTTATTAAATAAATTTAGTTGTTAAATTTATTTATATTATTGCGTTTATTACCGGGCAATCAAACGTGATAAATTTTTAAAGTTATGTTCTCAAATATAAATTTTTTTTATTTTAAAGTTATGTTTTTATAACTATTATTTTGTGTGGGATTTTTTGAAAATGTCCAAACTTAAATATGAACTAAATTACTCTCTAAAAATAAATTAGTCAGAAATGACAAATTACTACAGTTATTAGTGGTTGCTTTTTCACTTGTACCATGGTTAACCGGGATACCATGGTATCCCAAAATTTAACAGCCAATCCTTATGTAAAATTGTCCCCTCAATCCGAAAATACCGTCAAAAATTATGAAAGTAGAGCAGTCTTTGAGATATAGTCAATTCCATATTAAATGGAAAATTGACTATATCTCAAAAACTGTTCTACTTTTTTAACTTTTGACGACAATTTAGGATTGAGGGGACTATTTTACATGGAAAAAGAATGGTAAATGTTCAGGATACAAATTGCTACTAACGAGAATTATTAGTGGCTGCTTTTTCGCTAAGACAATTAGTCATTTTGGACTAATTAATTTTTAGAGAGTAGGTAAATTTATCATTACACTACAAATATATGTACCCAATTGGATACTTTGGCAAAACATGAAAATTCAACTTCCGATTATTCTTGAATTACATCTACAATTAAAAACAATAATTCACTATGATCACTTGGATAAAATACACACACAAATTTAACTATATAATCATATAAAGAATAATAAATCAAAATCAATTGGTAAATCCAGCAACGTTTTTTAGTTTTTACTTGCAACGCGAAACACAAATAACGTGCAATTAAGCAATTAATTAAGCTGTGCAATTGCAACTTAGCGAATAACATTTCTCGAGTAAGACTTCTGCCTTCCTCCTGAAAAAATTACTTATTTATTTAAAAATGATGTGCAGTTCGTATGCTTTAAATGTATTGTTGACAAACCTTGTAGTCTAATAATGCTTCTTTAGCGTATTGCTTTCACCTGGACAAAGCTGGGCCTATATTCGCCCAGCAAGAAAAGGCCAGTTCCATTCCAAAAATTAAGGGGATATAAACAAGAGCGAGGATATCGTCCGGATGCTGCAATGTCACTAATTGTACCATGCAGATCTTCCTCGTAGAGGTTCTAGAGGCAGGATTACGCGTCTTTTACAGCCAACCACATTACCACATTGCGGCCCTTTTACTATGTCTTGTAAATTTTATATCGAAATAAATTTGATTTGCTTTATAACCAATAAACCCGAGTTCAAACCCCAGCACCGGCACAATTTAAATAAATAGGTATTTTTAATCTGAAACTGAACAACTTTTTATTAAAGTAGATATAATTTACATACCAACAGAATTTCAAGTTACGATAATGAGACAAAAAGTATTTCTTCTAACAACGGTTTTCTCATTAAAATTAATTTCATTGGAATAAATGACGCAGGTCGCATTATAATCATTAAATAACATTCAACGTGAAATTAACGTCAGAGCTTTTAAATCTAAAGAACAGAAACAGATAATAAAAAGAATTTAGACAATAAAACAAATGAAGTCACGCCACCTACTAGGATGAGTTGGGTTGTCGAGAAAGTTTGATGTCTTTTATAGCGCACTGGATAGAAACAGTAGCGTAGCCAAAATGACAGACATTAAAAATGTTCCAAAAAACTCTTTATAGAATAGGAATATTAGGTTTCTGATAAATTGAATCACAAAAGAAGAAAAAAACCTTGTGATCTATCACACTTTTTTCTGATACAAAACTACTTATGCCATCTACAAAATATATTCTTCCCCTTTAAGACATAACAGAAAAAAATAAAGTACACGCAACTAAACTTATATAGAATCACCCAGTAATTTCGAGAAACAGTATTTTAGTTTTTAAAGAAAAAACAGTTTATCCGAACCAAAATTATTAGAAAAATAAAGAAAAAATTGTCAAAACAAACTTTATAGAGAACAAATAACAAAAAATGTGAATTTTTCTCTTCTTTTTGTTAATTTAATAATCAGTTTTGCCCATCTCTAGCGTTAATGCTAGCATGCATTCTTTCTATTAGGTTATTAATTTCTTCTGGGGGAAACAGTCACACCATTTCTCAACCAGTTTTGGCAACTCTGATGATATGTGGAGGCAATTGTTTTGAAGTGAAGGTGTGTCTAATTTTGACTGGCCTTCTTGTTCACCGGATTTTTATTCAATTGAGCACTTGTGGGATTTAAAAGAAGGATTACAGCTTATTCAAATACCCTTGCAACTGTTTTTTATTTTCAAATCAATAAAATACTGATCTTTGTAATTCCTTGGTAATTCCATATAAGTTTGGTTTTTTGTATGTTAACAATTTCACCCACATATTTTTTATACTAGAATTCAACGCTATAAGATTTATAATAAATATAATTTAATCAAAATTAAACTGCTTCCTTGCTAAGGTTATAACATATCAATTATAGTTTTAATAGCTTTTGGTTTAGCCAATCAAATTGTTAAATTTTTAAAGTCTTGGCGTCAAAATAAAACTGTTTAACTTTTAGAATAACATTTTTGTTTATTTTATTCTTTCTCTTTTTTGATTTGCCAGTTTCTCCATTAATTTTACAGGTGTACCCTTTAGCCCTCCCCCAGGCTGCGCCACTGGATGTAGGTAATCCTTGCTGCAAAATAATTTATAAATAGAGGATACGGTATCTTTTAAAGGATACGCTTTCGTGTTGATTTGACGCTGTTCTCAGCTTATCATCGTATTTTAGTATTTTGGATGGTTTAAAAGAAATATGAGACTTTAAAAACTATCATTTATCTTTATAATTTTGGTGAATATGACTTTTTTGTTGGATCATTAATAAAGATTATAGTATAAGTCACAAGAGGAACTTCTATAAAAAAATTACGTTATATAAAGTTTTTTACTTTATATACGTTGCTTACGTACCTTTATAAAATTAATTAATTAAGAAAAATATTTCTTTTTAATTTTTTTTTATTATAGCTTAAATGAATTAATACCAAGTTAATTATAATTGTTTTAGTTAAAATGTATTATCGATTTTAGCAAAAAAGGGATAATAACACATTTGTTTTGTCAAGCTCCAATTCATTTATTGTATATCTAGTTCGTAAAGTAACTTTAGTTTTATCTTTGCTCACTTTTAAAAAGTATACCGTAGTTAGTTTAAACTAAATGGGGCTCCATTGTCTCGACAACCATTTACGAGGTTTTTTGTTCCGATATGTATGAGATATCCACAAAAGCTCACATACTTTTAGAGGTAATAGACAAAGGCTGTGTTGCTGAAAAGTTTATTGCAGTGGACTAAACAACAACAAATTTCCTACAAAGATAAGTCTTTCTGATTTACTGATCTAGTGAGTGAATTCTAAAATTAAAAAAAATCACAAAAATCTTAGTATTTATATTAAGAGGGGAAGTACAAATATTACCCAGTCATTAAAAATCAAATGGACGAATAAGTTAATATATTGATGAAGGGCATTTAAACTTTCAACAAGATGCTCCTCCTCACTATGCTTTACAAGTCAGAGAATGGTTGAACCAAAGGTTTTCC